GGGGATGAGGGAAAGTGGGTGGGACTGAAAGGGGGAGGATGGAAGGCCTATGACTGACATATAAATTTAATTAAATGATAAAACAGAAGATGAAGGTGTCAGACAAACATGTGAAGTATCTAGAATTTTCCCATTTGGTTTGCAAAGAAAATCCTTCCCTTTACAGAGCTATTTCAAGAAATACACTTGAGATCCGTTGACATTCTTTTATGCTGCACTGGGAATTTGGATCAGCTCCAACAATGACTCAAAATCAATCCTATAAAGAGAGTGTTCCATGCATTCTGACACCCACATGCATACAGTACTTAAGCTGCCCTTCTGGCACTTGGCTACTGTTGAAACAACGAGGTGCGTTAGTTTCATGGGATGGTAAAGAAATAACTTTGGAAATACTGTTTGTTTTTCATGCTCTGACCTCAAGTGTATGCTGTAAATTTCTTCAAAGTTCATCTTCTACCTGAACTTTCTCCATTATGGAAAAGATTGGGCCAAAAGTAATAAGACCAGATCTGAGAAAAGAGGTAGGGTGATTAAGGCTTCATACGCTGCCCTATTCTCAGACAAAGGGTTGATTCTAGGCACTAAGAGACTTAGAGACAAGACCAGCGACAGTCTAAAAATAGCCTCCATATATATGGGAGGGCAGCAGCAAGGGGAATAGCTCCCTTCACAGGCTGACAGCAGCATGCTACACAAGTATTGCAGTCAGTCACACTAGGAAGGGAGAATGAACACTGAACATGAGCCAGCACGAACCCAGTGTTGAGAAGCATGAGACCCCTTGGTGCTCTCATTCTAGTGGTGATGCTGAAAACACATTCTCTGGGAAAAGGAATCTGGACACTTCTTAATATGGAAACAAATTTACCACACTTTATTGAAACACAAATGGAATATTTTTTTTCAATTACATTTACAGTGAGATCATTTATAACCAATTTCATGATATTAGTACTTTTATCTGGAAAAATTTTCTATGGAAAATAAACTTAATGCAACAATAACCCTAGGTTTCTGATTAAAATGAGAATTATTTATTTATATGGGCATAGTTAAAGTGACTACACATAAAATCATTTTGGGGCTGTAGCTACTGTGTCAGAGTTTTCTATGCTGTCCATTCATACCTAATTCTTTTATTTTGATTTTTGAACTTTAGGTTTGCATTTGTAACTGCCTGAATGTAGACCTATGTAGATAGTCCACATTTTACCCAAAGCTCTCAGCATATCCATCTCGGTAAATAACAGCTCTTCTTTCAGTGGACTAAGCCCAAATCTTCAGATCAATTGCTCTTTCTCCTCATTCCTTTCTCCTACCTTGTCAGCCCTGTGATATTATGCACCCAAAAAATACTTTCTAATTTCACTTCTACTACATTGACCCAGGTGTCCTGGTGACTCCTCTTTACTTCAAAAACCTAGTTATAGTTTATTCACACAGAAGACTGACTGTTTTAGGACTTAGGTTGGACATTGTGACCCTCACATTTTAAACTTTCACTCCTCCCTCTTTATACTAATCTTGGTAATGGTAGCTGTAAGGTGAAGACGTCTCAAGTTTTGCACGTCACACATTACAAGTTCAGCGTTTGCTCATGTGCTGTCCTGATCGATGGCCTGATGTCTTCCAAAGGGTTTTCCAGGGGCCCTGACACCTCCCAATTTGAGATTTTTTTTTTTTTATTTCATCATGTGGCTTCTAAATTTTAACAAACAGAACTCAAATCACACATAGGGTCTAATCTCAGCATTAAAAAAAAAAAAAAAAAAAAAACACTCTAGAGAAGTATCTCCGGTGTAAGATGCTGTTCAAGTATGTGGTATGTGTGCTACTGTGATCCACCTAGTGGCTACGCTAATACTCTTACAAAATTACCTTTGTTTTTTCTATGATGCCTATGGCTAACATGAACTCATTTCCTAAGAGTGCAAACATGCTTACAGTGGTTTGAATGAAAATGGTCCCCAAAGGCCTGCAGAATTGGTAATCTTAGATGTGGCCTTTCTGGAGTAGGCTAGGCCTCGCTGGAGGAAGTGTGTCACTAGGGGGGCGGACTTTGAGGTCTCCGAGTATCTCAGTTCTCCTCCTGTTGCTTGTGGATCCAGATGTCTACCTCCCAGCTACCTCTCCAGCACTATGTCTGTCTGCCTTGAAGACCCTGGACTAAAGCTCTGAATTGTAAGCGAGCCCCGATGAAATGTTTTCCTTTAGAAGGGCTGCCTGGGTCATGGTGTTTCCTAATAGAAACCCTAACTAAAACAAAGCTGTTAAGATGGTTAGGCTTTGAGAAGGGGTCTCCAGCCTAAGGATTAGATGGGTCCTAAAGACTAAACCGGATGGCAGAAGAGACAACAGAGCCTTTTCCTGAAAATTCACTTATCTCACTTGGAAACGTGGTGCGCCAAGGGAAAGTGAAGATTTTCTGTCTTGGAATCCACTTCTGTATCCCACTGTTAAACCTAGTAGAAAAATGTCTTGACTCTGAGCTGTTTCTCCCGATCACTGTTTACTTTGTAAACAATGAGGATGAAGCCTTTGATCAGGATGGTGCAGATATTGGACCTGAAGCTCGCCTAAGCCAGTTACTGCGGATCCGTTCTTCCTTTTTCTTCATTGCTGTAGATCCTTCGGGCCTATCCTCTGCACAGGTTTTGCCTGTACTCCCATCTTGGTTGGTTTTTGACTTAGCACAGAAAATTTATTAAAAAAGCTCAAGTACATCTTTCTTTTCTTTTTCTTCCTTGGATTTTGCTTGTGGTGCCCATTGAGTTTACTCTAAAATTCACCTTCCAATTTGAGATGACATGGCTGGAGCCTTGTTTCAGAGATTGCGACCTTAACCCAATACCAACACCAACCAGAGTTATGTCCTACATTCCAGAGCGTTTGCCGAAGTGGCCTGACAGGCCTTCCACTGAGTTATAGCAGTAGCCTTTCTGTTGTCCCTGTAGATTAAGAATGCTAGTAGTTACTTAGTGACAGTAGTCACTAGGTCTTTTTTCCTCCCTTTTGTAGGGATAAGTTTATAGTGTAATTGAATTTTTGATTTCTGTATCTGCCATATCTGGTTACAGGCTATGAGAATCTCCTGTCTTCATGTACAAACTTTGCTCCACAATGGTTCCCTGATATGTCAATAAAGCAGTTTACAGCCAGTTATTGAACAGGGGAGAGAATAGGGCTGGACTTCCTACCAGCCAGGGGAGGAGGTGTTAGAGGATAGGAAGTGGGGGATTCAGCCAGGTGATTCAACCATGGGAGAGGTCTAGGGAAGGTGAAGAGAGAAGAGCTGCAGCAGGAAAGCTACAAAATGTATCCTGGGATGCTTGCTAGGGGAAAAGGAAATTAGCATAGTTAAGAATAGAGTTAAAAATAGGGTTAAGAATAGAGTAATAACTGCTCAGTTCTTGTGCTGTGAAGCTTATTATAAACAAATATGAGTCTCAATTATTTATATGATAGCCAGGTTAAGGTTGAAACTAAAAGAAACAAACACAGTTATGTAAAAATAACTGCAACCCCTTTTTTATTTTTTATTCCTTTCATTATCTCTGTAAATAATTTTTGTAGTCAGCCTCCTCTACATTAAATGCCTAAGATAATTTAATTTAGCTAGTATCCACATATATGCACAGACACAAAAACCTTTACTATAAGTTTCATAAAACAATTATACACTGAGTTGAAGAATGTTCTTGATTAATTTGCCAACTTAAACATATTAACTACAAGAAGGGGTTAATATGGTCTACTACAAAAACTAAGCCACAAGTGTATGTCTAAATTGATATATAACAATGATAACAATTGTCTTTTGTAGGAAAGGAATTGCTGATAAGACAAAATACCCACTAAGAGGGGGGGTTGCTTCTTTGATGTTAATATCGAGTGACTCAATTAAGAGACGGCTATTGCCATTTTGCATTTTACTTATACTCAAGTTACATGGATTTTTATCTTGTCATGTGTAGCAGTTGTAATTTCATAAGTGAATAAAAGGTAAAATGAACACTAGGCTGTACATAATCACTTTTGTTAAATGTGTACATCTGTATGTATTTTTATCTATAATGAGAACTGTCTGTATTTCAAACAATCCAGCTATAAGATTTTCTTTGAAATAAAATTGGTTCAGTGTTACCAGTACAAAAGGAAAGATTTGAACATGGCATCATTGTCCCTGTGAATTTCCTAGTGGAAATCCCAGGTGATATTTAGAACAGTGACCCAAAACCAGCATTTCTTTTCCTGAAGTTGCTTTTGTCAGGAATTCTGTCATCGTTACACACAACAGTCTTTCCAATGTGTTGTAGTAAACATTTCTACTTTTTTTTTTCCATTTCCTGGCAATGCAATCAATGGGGTGCCCTCTTGTCCTCCAATGGGTACCATGACTGTAACTCATTTTCTAAGCCACAGGTGAGGTGTCATGACAAGCCCTGAACATTTTCTCAGGGAGCCCCTTTAATAAGATCAAGGTGGAGACGGTGATGATGTAAGTTTCCACTGAACAGTTAAATTATGCAATAAACCAAATGGCTCTGAACTTGTTTGCAGAAAGTTCAAAAGGTCACATGACTGAGAGTAGAAATAAAGCGGTCTAAGAGCTAGGCTCTCCTGCTTAGGGACATCAACTAATTATTGCACAGACACCATCACCTCAAAGACAAGATTCTGTGAGGACAACAAATTCAAAGACATCGTGCATCTTAGAAAAAAAAAAAAAAAAAAAAACCATAATTTTGCTCATATATCCAATCTGACTTTTGCACTCCTACCACTTTAACAGAGTGAACTTTTACCTGTGTTATAAAACTGGTTTGTTTGTTCTTTTCCCCTTTCATTTTCCAAGGCACAGTTGCATGTGCTTTATTTGTTGTTTTTTTTGTTTGTTTGTTTGTTTTTTAATTTTGTTGTTGTTGTTGACAAGTTACTTACCCTATAGGCAAATTGTGTTGTTTGCCTGTTTCTTGAGGTCTTCGTTCTCCTCCCTACTTTTCGCTTCCTGGGAAATCACCCACTGAACTCTGAACTTTATCTTGTTACTCCTGTTTTGTGACTCGGAGCACAAACTTTGCTTGTTGGCTGAGGTCTTTGTGCAGCTTTCCTCCTAGCTCTTTTCTAACAAGGCTCGCTCTGTGCTCCACAGTTTCTTTTTTGTTCAGTCTTGGGCTTCTATCACAGAATCACAAATATCTACAGCTGGGAATCAGACAGGCACAGAAATGAAGAGCCTAGGATCCCAAGACAATGTTTCAGTTTCCCAGGGTATTCGAATGATGTTTTACATGATGAAGCCCAGTGAAACTGCCTTCCAAACTGTTGAAGAGGTGCCTGATTATGTTAAAAAGGTGAGACTAGCTTGAAAGAGGCTCTCTTGCTCTTCTATCACACTGTAAACTCAACATATCCCTAGGATTTGTTCAATTATCTACAGCAAATTGTTACAGACTCATAAAAATCTAATTTCTTATTTTTTAACTTTAGTAAAGGTATATTTTTATTTTTTTCCTCAATATATATTTTAATATATACTTTCAATTAAATTATACATATTATAATTATGTTTACATGGTCACGTATATAGAGCATAGTGGATTTTTACATGTGCACATAGGAAGTGGTTTGGAATACATAATCTATGCCTTTCTCTTAACAATTAATGTTGCATTTTTCATTTAATTATTTCAATTTTTAAAAATTCTTTATTAATTACACTTTATTCACTTGTATCCTCCCGTGTAGTTCCCTCCCTCCTCCCGTCCCAGAACAAATCCCTCCCTTCCTCCACCCTCTGCATGCATGCCCCTCCCCAAGTCCACTGATAGGGGAGGACTTCTTTTCCTTCCTTCTGATCCTAGTCAATTAGGTCTCCTCAGGATTGGCTGGCTGCATTGTCTTCTTCTGTGGCCTGGTAAGGCTGCTCCCACCTCGGAGGCGAGGTGATCATAGGTTACCTCTGTTCAGGGTTTCCAGGCCATCTCCATGAGTGGTCCTTGGCTGGAGTATCAGTTTCAGAAAAGACCCCTATGCTCAGACTTTTTGTGTCTGTTGCTGTCCTTGTGGAACTCCTGTCCTCTCCTGGTCTTACTCTCTCCCACTTCTTAGTAAACTTTTTTAATTAATTTATTTTTATTAATTACAATTTATTCATTTTGTATCCCAGTTGTAGCCTTCTCCCTTGTCCCTTCCCAATCTTACCTTTCTTCTCTCTTCTCCTCCATGCCACTCCCCCAGTCCACTGAGAGGGGAGGCCCTCCTCCCTTTCCCTCTCCCCTTCCCTCTGATCCTAGCCTATCAGGTCTCATCTGGACTGGCTGCATTGTCTTCCTCTGTGGCCTAGTAAGGCTGCTCTCCTCTCAGGAAAGGAAGGTGATCAAAGAGCCAGCCAATGAGTTCATGTCAGAGACAGCCCCTGTTCCTCTTACTAGGGAACCTGCTAGCTGCCATAGGCTACCTCTACGCAGGGGTTCTGGGTTATCTCCATGCATGATCGTTGTTTGGAGTATCGGTCTCAGAAAAGACCCCTGTGCCCAGAGTTTTTGATTCTGTTGCAGGAGCTCCACAAGGAGAAAAATCTATTTTTTTTCTTACATTCATGATGCAAAAGTACATTATTCAAATGAATTTAATTTCTATAAAATATCTACATATTTGCCTGTACATCCTCTAGAATATGAAAAAAAAAAATCAAAGTTTCTGAACATGGTGGCTTTGCAAATTTAGCTACTCGGAAGCAGTATTAAATAGTTATTCTACATCCGTAACCTTTGTAACAATTTGTTTTAAAACGTTTAACTTGTCTACCACCTCCAGGGAGGCATTTCCTCTTTCATTTAGTAGAGCACTTCTGCAGAATAAAGGACACCGAGCTTGGCTCCGTAAAAGTCTAACTTCCGAAGTTTCACGCCTTTGAGGCCTTCTTTCACTTCTGTTGCTTGGCTATGATTGGAAATGGAAATATCCTGAATTAGAATGTGAGCAATGATTGTCCCCACCCTGTCAGTGTTGTTCCTACAACGCTGATGAGTCAGACCAGAAACAGGGAAAACATGACAGCACAGAGCAGGTTCTTGGCAGCTCTCAGTTCAGAAAACTTTAAGCTCATCATCTGTTTTCAAATGAGTGAAGTCCATGTTGCTTTTAAGATTTGATATTGCCATTTTTGGTTATCAAAAAAAAGTCACTCCTGTCTTTAAAACATTATTATTTAGATTACAACATCAAGTTTAATATAATATTCATTGAGCAATTATTGAATTCACATTATCATAAAAACACAAATCAAAGCTGAGTGAATAAAACTTTGATGGTGATACAATCAGAGACAATTACCTAATTTACTAAGTCTCAGATTTTGTTTCTACTGCTTTCACCTTATATAGAACATCTAATTTAAAAAATATATAATTGAAGATATTTTAAGGGGTTCTCTTAGAGTAACTCTAACTTACTCAGAGGCAAAAAATAGGCTCTTACGTGCTTAACTACTCTTAAATGTATTTTCTTGATCTGGAAGCATCTTCTTCCTAATTTTAATTGTTTTCTTGGCATAATAGTGGAAGCCGTACTTATGCTTTTATTTCATTTACAAGTTGCATGCTATGTTTTGAAAATATCTTTAGTGCATATCTAAAATGAGTAAATTTTCTTGCTTATTGGTTTGGAAATAACCCTGTAGCCGCAATGCGGAACATCTTCTGCTGGTGTACCTCTCCCAAACCTCAGGAGATTAATCAGAGCACGTGGAAGAGTTCATGTTGAACAGTGATAGCTCTTCTGTCCATTCTTCTTTATAGGCAACTCCGTTTTTCATCTCCCTGATTCTGCTCGAGCTAGTCATCAGCTGGATTGCCAGAGGGAAACCATCGGGTCGGTTGGATGATGTTCTCACATCCATGTCAGCTGGTGTCGTGTCTAGGCTTCCAAGGTGAGCCATGTGGTCTAAAACAGTGGATGAAGAAATCCTAGACTCCTAGTGTGGGTACTCAGCACATCTCTCCATAAATTCCTACAGAACTCAGGACCTGCCATTATTTGAACTTGTCTTACTATTTTTAGCACACTTTTATTTCTTTAGTAGAGAAAGCTCAATGTTGCTAACCTTAGCTACTGAGTTTCCCTAGTATGTACTCATACTTTTTACCCAAAGTAACTGCATCACCTGCCTTGATGTAGATCTTACTCTGAGTTTATAACCAGATCGGTGCTGGAAATTAGGTTTGTTCCAACCAAATGTCTACAGATATCTCCCTAGGTCTCAGTCTTTTCTCAATGTATTTTACACAATTATGTGAACAATTACCATTGGCAACCAAATTTTTGTATCATAGGGACCAGGTGGAGGGCATTCCCTACTTCCATATTTCCCTGGACTTGATGTAAAATTCTATTCTTGAAGCACACCAGGTTTAGTTTCTCTGTCTTTTTTGGTGACTCTATCCTTTTATCGTCTTCATCCTGTCATGACACTATTCTGAGGCACTTTGTTGGATTTAGAAAAACACCCATGTGGCTGCCTCTAGTTCCTTTTGCAGGTCTCTGCACAGGCATAACTTAACCAAAATTCATCTGTTTTCTATCCCTGACATGGGCACCTCTGCTCCGCACTCTGACTCATGTGCTCACTCTAGACTTACAGTAATCTCAGGGTTGAGGGTTCTTCTGTTTGTATCAGCAATCTTTATCTTGCATGGACCTTGAAATCAAGAGTTTTGCACATCTCAGACTTTTAACTCATACTCCTGGAATGATGTCTGGTACAAAACACGTGCTCTCAAATAATATTCTTCTTAGTGTCCTGTTAATGATAAAACTGGACAAACAAGAGGTTGAACAAACAGCAAATGAACTACATTACAAAGTGACTTGGGAGGTATAGGAGAAAATATTGACAGATAGACAGAAAGCTCATTCAGTGTCTGAGGATTAAACAAGGAAGTTGGAAGAAGAGGGGGATAGAAAGACCTAGAGGGGACAGGAGTTCCGCAAGGAAACCAAGAAAACCAAATAAATAAATAAATAAATACATAAATAAATACATAAATAAACAAACAAACAAACAAAATCTGTGCATAGGGATCCCTGCAGAGACCAATGCTCCAACCAAGGACCATGCATGGGGAGGACCTAGACCCCCTGCTCAGATATAGCCAACAGGCAGCTCAGTCTCCATGGGGGTTTATTAGTTAGGGGAGCAGGGACTGTCTGTGACATGGATTCAGAGGCAGGCTCTTTGATCAACTCCACCTGGGAGGTGCATCTTTTCCAGGCCACAGAAGAGGATGCAGCCAACCCTGATAAGACCTGATAGCTAGGGTCAGATAGAAGGGGAAGAGGACCTCCCCTATCAGTGGACTAGAAGAGGGGTATAGGGGCAGAAGAGGGAGGGTGGGACTGGGAGGAGACAAGGGAAGGGGCTACAACTGGGATACAATGTGAATAAATTGTAATAAATAGTAAATCAATAAAAAATAAAAAATAAAAAAAAAAACAAGGAAGCAGGGCGGAGAGAAAAGCCCCCCAGGGACCTTAGCTTTGAGCTGGGGAAGCTTATACTCATCACAGCCTCCCACCCCTGCTTCCTCTTACTGTTTGTGGAGCTTCACTTCTGACCAGAGCTCATCACTTTGGAATGTTTCTTGGAACCACACAGTGGGAAATTAAGGTGGACTAAAACAAAAAAATGTCATTGAACATGATATATATCTGAGAAAAGGTGCGATAATGTGATATAATTCCATTACATGTTTAGGTAGAAAGTAAGTCTTAAAAATACATGTCAGAGTGTTATTTTGAGTAAATTGGGTCGTTTAGTTTATAGTCATAAAATACTGAGCTGAGTAACCGCAGATGTGGCTGCGTACTACAGTCAGCATCGTTCTAAAATAATTTCTCTGCATACGTAAGATTGCCTAAAATTCAATTTACTGATGATTTTTCTGCAGTGTGGCTTCATATGTCAGAAATTAGCATGACCCCCTTCCATTTATATACTCTGAGGTATGTAGATTTAGATATATATTTCTTTTTAGAGTTATTATTAATTAATGTATTTGTTTATTTTACATCCCTCTCATAGCCTCTACCTCCTCTCCTCCTGGTGTTTCCTCTCTCCCTTCACTCCTTCCCTATTCCTCAGAAAAGGGCAGCCCCCCTTACCCACCTGTGCCAGTTCAAGTCCAATCAGGACTGAGCTTGTCCTCTCCTGCTGAAGACTGGCAAGGCAGCCCTGTGAGGGGGAGGGGAGGAGGTGAGTGATCAAAAAGCAGGCAACAAAGTCCATGTCAGAGTCAGCCCGGGCTTCTCTTACTAGGACACCCCCATGAATCTTGAGCTCACTCTATGCTACATCTGTGTAGAGGATCCAGGACCTTGGTTGCTGCTTCAGTCTCCCCACGCTCCTAGTTGGTTGGCTCTTTCTGTCTTCTTCTGGAGCTACTGTCACCTCCAGATCCTGCTGTTTTTCTCCCATTTTTCCACAAGACTCCCTGTACTTTGTCCAATGTTTGGCTGTGAGTCTTAGCATCTGTTTCTATCCATTGTTGGGTGGAGCTTCTCAGAGGGCAGCTATGCTATGCTCCTGTCTGCTAGCATAACAAAATATCATTAATAATGTCAGGCGTCTGCTCTCAGGTCGGGCCAGGCATTGACTGTACATTCCCTCAATCTCTGCTCTATCTTTATCCTTGCACCTTTTGTAGGCAGGGAACATTTTCACTAGAAGCTTTTGTGGGTGGGTTGGTGTTCCCGTCCCTCCACTAAGAGTCCTGTCTAGTTAAACGGTGTCTCTTCATTCTTCATGACCCTTGCTACTAGGAGTCTCAGCTAGAGTCACCCCATATTCTCCCAGGATACTACCTGTCTTAGGTCTCCAGCTTGTTATAGAGATCCCCCTGTCCACTGTTTCTCTCCTCTCTTCAGGCCCTCTGTCCTCTCACCCTGACCCGCCCCATGTCTGGTCTCCATCTTCATTTCTCTCTGTGCTCCCTCTTCTACCTGGTTCCCTCTCTTCAACCACTGCCATTGTCTATTCTACTTCTCAGTTGACGATAGTCCAGCTGGTTTCTGTAGCTCACTATGAGAATGTAATGTACTAAGAATTCTTGGAAATCAGTTCATTTTCAACTGTGAAAATCATGTAATATCAGGGAAGTACTCTATATGCAGGTATAATTATGGGTAATGTATTTTGCTGGCTTAGAAGGGAACATTTTCATACTTATTGTTTTGTTTTACAGAAATTTTGAGAGATATCATATTGAATTAATTCTTCATCTTTTTGCCGTTTTTCTTAAAAATTTCAAGTATGGTTTTGGTTATAAGTAAAGTTAGATTGTCCCCTTCTTACATTTAACTCCTGGAAACACACACTTTATACTAAGTACAGCATTTTTTCCCTCAGCAATATGACTTACAATGCTATGATTTTAGAACAGCAAAGCAATATTCTAATAGACCCTTTTACAAAATCATACATCAAAAGTAGAGACACAAATGCACATGTGCACACTTGATGTGGGAATTAAATAGATGTGGACATGAGCGTTGAGAAGGGGTTCCTGGGAGGCAAAAGCATGGAGGTAGGGAGGGAGAAAAAGAGGAAGGGAGGAAAGAGAGAGATTTAAAAAGAAGCATAGTTAAAATATCAACACAAGCCAGTCCTTCAGGAATAAAAGGTGAAGATCCTTTCCCTCACCCACTATTTTTTAGACTCCTTAAGCTAAAAAATGATCTTCTTTTCACCATGGTTCTCTTTGAAGGAAGATAAAATGCTATAAACTTGAATTTATACAGTATTTTTCTGCAGCTGTATTTTTCATTAGAATAGAAAATCGCTGTTCTTTTTTCATTATGGGTATTAAAATATCAAAATTATAAAATAATGGAAATATTTTAAAAGTTTCTCAGTTTCAATGTAGTGTATGTGAAACATCCTAACAAAGAAAACAACTTTGAAGTTACACTTAAATGTATTTTCTTTTATTTCACTGCTACTTTTAAATGAAAGTATGAACAGAAAAGGAAAGAAGATTCTCTAGATTCACTCAAGTTGGCCTCCTTACAGAAGATGGAAAAAAAAGAAAGAAGGAAGGAAAGAAAAATGAAAATAACTTGACATCAGCTTCCACTATTATTTTCATTTGATACTGTAGCATTCAAATGTATCCTTGTGCAAATCATAAGCAGCTGAAGGTTAGATTAACATGGTGTGGGTCCTTGACTCTCCAAGGAATGCAGTTCGTTTTCTCTACTAGCAATAAGGTCTTGCCACATCCTTAAAGTATTTAATTGCAGGAAAAACAATACTATACCATCAGTTAATCTGCTAGTGGAGAACTGTGCTCCAGATAATACTTTGAAATAGTTTCTAACAAAATAGAGAAAATAGGGAGCACCTCCTTCTAGTTCTGCATTCTTGCAATAGATATATTATCTAGGGACTGAAGAAAAACACTTTTATTTGACGACCCTGATATTATGATTGCATACAATTTGAAGTCTCTTTAAAAGTAGGAGCTTACTTGCTGTATCCGCAGGAAAGACATGTGCTACACCTTTAAAATCTTTATAGAAGGCACAATATTAACCACAGACAGAAGCGTGCCTTGTTTACAAGTCTGTTGGGCAGGCCTTCATCCACAGTAAAAGCCCATCTGTCTCACACCAGATTCAGGGCCATCCTGAACTTATTTGCTCTTTTGAAACACAGTAGGAAGCCTTCTAACCAGAATCCAGGACAGGAGTCATTAAGGGATGTTTCTACTGACCACACCAAATAAGATGTATCTTGTAGATAAATTGTTTTTCTGACAATTATATAATCTCACATTTAATCATAAAAATTAAACTTGAATCAAGTTCAAAACCTATTTTAAGAAGCATAATTTGTAGAATACTGCACTATTGACTCACATGTTAATGAGTGAAAAATCGTCACACCTCTCCCTTGCTAGCCTAAGTTGAACTCAGTTTCCAATCCTTCATAAGAAATCCAGGACCCTGATCTGTTACTTCCTGCCAGAGTTATTGTTTCCATAAACTGGGTCCTCCCCAGAGAAGCTTTATTCCTGATATTTATACCTATAGTATTTTTGTTTTTAAGGACTTCATTTATTCTGTTGAAAGAGCAGATTAAAAATCAAATTACAGTAGGTTCAAGGGATAATTTAAGTAGGTAAATTTTCAAATAAGTTGAGGACACTCACCTCCGAACACTTATGGGTGGTGGCCAGGTTTTACTATGCTTCAAATTTTGTAAAGTTCAACCATACTTACATAGAATTTTACTGGCTATGCCTTCCGTGGAATTTTCCATCCCTGACAAGAACAGTTTGGTTCAAAAAAATTTTTAAGGAGGAAATTAAACTTTTTTGAATTATTTTCAAGTCCTTAGAGCTGCAGAATAAAGAAAAAAAATTGTCACTGCTATGATATTACCTTTTTCAGTGAATAAAGCTCATGGGTTCCAAGGCAGGAGTCATACATTTTCAACATAGTAACATATTTTCTTGTAAAGAATGCAACAAATATATTTATGGCTTAATGACTGTTTAAAAGAAGTGTGGTAATTGTTTTATAAATGTAATACAATTTTACAGTAAGAAGCAGCAAAGAGGTTATGTCTGTTTATACGAAGTAGAAGTAGTGTAATTTTTCTTCTGATTGCTTAGATATTAAAAAGTCAGTGTTCCACTAGATGGAGCAAAAGTGGCAGGAGCTCTCCAGACATTCTGAGGTCAGTTAGGAGTGGCTTTAAAAATAAATATATAGTCAATTTCTCAGAAAAAAAAAAGTAAGTCTATCACTAAAATATATTTAAGGTACATATATGTATAAATATGTGTGTGTGTGTGTGAGAGAGAGAGAGAGAGAGAGAGTACTGTTATGCCACAGGTACCTGTAGACCATGGAGGACAACTTGTGTGAATTTTTTTTCACTCTTCACATCCTGACCCAAATTTTATCATGTACTGCTAACCCTAGAAAGCCAGTGTTTGAGCAGAGTTCATAAAAAATTTTGAGTTGTAAACAAAAGCCTTTGCTTAGACAGGTCACACTGTACAATAGGTACTAATATCTGTTGGTACTCAGATCATTTTTTTTTTTAGATCTCATGTCCAAATTCCATGTGAAAAAGGAAGAGTATTTATAAGTAAGACTCCATGTTTGCTACCATTCCACCTTCATGTGATCAATTGAGACCCAGATATCTATATTTTCAAGTTATATTTGTCTCTTCCCACTGGGTGGAGTTTAGAGAGCCCAAGGTAAAATTCCGGAATGCGGAGTCACACCCCTGGTCTGAGGATGGGGGTGGAAGAAGCGGAAACAGAAAGAGGAAGGAACCTTGGTTTATGGTTCTGGGTCTGTCGGGAATAGTTTTGCAGACATTGGTGCTACTTCCTGCCATCAAGGGCTTTCCAGAATCTGATAATCATTTCCCAGCTGTATAGCCTGGCAGATTGTTTCAGTTGTGGGCACTGAGCAGCTGTCCCTTCACAAGTAAAATGGAACAGGAGCATGTTCGTCTTGCCGGTAGAAGGCAGGGAATACAACTCCCATAGTTGCTGCTTGAAGACGTTTTGGTCTCTTGTTAAAGTGAGGAACAGGGAAAGGTCTGATACAGTGCATAAGGCATACTTCAGCTCAATCTGTGTCAGCACTAATAACTCATTCAACAGAGTGATAGGTTAGATGTCTGTTCAAAGCCTGGCACCTGCCTGTAGAGGAAATAAGTGACACTGATTTCAACCACTGGAATCTCAGTTCCACAAATCAGAGTTCCGCAGGGTCCCTCCTTGATTGAAGTCTTGGTACCTTAATCTTGTTTCACTTGTCCCTGGTAAAGAAGATAGGAAAGATGTAAGAAGGTGATGAACTAATGAGGCCCCCTCGAGTCAGGTGATTATGGCCTATGCTCAACACAATGTCCTTGTCCCTGTGCTGTCCCCGAGACTGAGAGAGTCCCGAGCTTGAACTCATCAAATGGCTGATACCTATGTGGATATGTCTAATTTGATATTATGTACCAAAGCTTACCTAGAAACCTTTTTTTTTTACAGTGAAAGCCATTATTTATATTGTGTACAAAGTAAACAACATTTATTCATTTTTTTAATCTTTAAAACTATTTAATGAATGTATTACCTTTAACTATGTAATTATCTTTAGCTGGATTGTGCTAGAAATGGGGGATGATAAATATATATATATATATATATATATATATTTATCAGCCTTCATGACAAATTTCTGTTGAAATGTCTTTGCTTTACTTTTTCTTTCTAATTGCTTTATGGCTGCAGTTAGCAACTTGGGGCACATTTGCTCACCAGAAAATATTTGGCAGTATCTGGAGATGTCTGGTTGTCATAGCTGATGAGGACACTGACTCGGCCGAATAGAAAGAGATGGCAGGGTGTTTTCTACAGTTTTGTTGGACCTGGGACATCTTTACTGACAAAGAGGCACCTGGCCCAAACATGGTAGCAGAATCTTAGTTAAAATTTCTCTATTAGAAGTTAGTAACTTGGACCATTAAACATAAAACAAAACAAAACAAACAAACAAACAAACAAACAAAAACAAATCAGACTTTGTTCACAACTTTAACTCAAAAGGAATTTTATACAGCAATTAGTGACAGTTTTTGAAATTCTATACCATGATTTAAGGTTTGTTCAGAACAACCTCCTACAAAAAGAATCATCCCGCCTAAGTCTTAAGAATGGCACTGTAGAGATGCCCTGATCTAAACATATCAGCCACTGTCCAAGATGGCCACCTCTAAAATAAAATTTGTCTTAAACCCTCTCTTGAAATATACCCTTGATAAAAGGTTAGAAGTCGGGTTATGTACAGAATTTTAAATTTAATATGTGAAGTCACAAATAAACAATATCATAATTAAAGAGTATATTTTAAATTCATGCTCTACAAATAACACTGTAACATTTTAATTTATAGAAACCCTCTTTCAGAAGAAATACTGTTAAAATGGGGAATTTTGATAATAAAATTATCCTTGATAGTAATTTAAGTTTTACCTCAATCCATAATATTTACTTTCAAAATTTTGAGCAACAGTTTTGTTACCTGTTTATAACTGTATCATATTATTAGGAATGATCAACTTTTTTCATATTTTAATAACAAATATAGACTAAAAAGTAGATATAATCAAAAATTTTAAAGTATTAAATAATTTTCTCAAATGTGATCTTTATCACAGATACTTTTTGGTTTTTGTTCTTTTGAGACAGGATTTCTCTGTGTAGTTTTGGCTGTCCTGGATTTGTTTTCTACACCAGACTGGTCTCAAACTCACAGTCATCCACCTGCTTCCGACTCCCTGAGTGCTGGGCTTAAAGGTGTGCGCCACCTCACGTGGCTGTTTATCACAGATAATTCAAAAGGAAATACACTGTGTAAAATGGAAATCAATATCTATGATTTTAAAATGTTTGAAACAAAAAGTAATAGACACTTGATAAAGTAGGTAGGAATACAGAGTTTAGTTTATAGGTTAAATTTTTTATTATATTTACATTCTATGTATATGTATTTGTGTGTGTTTGCATGCATATAATATAAATATCTGCATGGCGGCTACAGAGAAGAGGGTATCAGAGTCCCTAGAGCTGGGATACTATGGGAGGTTCTAAGTCACTTGGTATGAGCTCTGTGAACCGAATTTAAGTCCTCTGCAAGAACAGTAAGTGTTCTTAAACACTGAACCATCTCTTTAGCTCTGTTTCTTTTTTAAGCTTGTTTATTTTTAATAGGTTTATATGCTTCATTTCTGGTAAAGAGATTATTTCCTAATACTCTCAATGTCCTATGTTACATTTCTCATATGATATATCCAGGATGTGTACCTACACTGTAACATCACAGTAACAGTAAGGTGTGACAAGAAAGGAAGATACAGAGAGGAATGCAGAAAGAGCCACTTCAGGCTAAGACAGAATTTATGAGTAATAATATTTAAGGACAACACGTGTTGTCAGACTCCTTAGGAAGTGTTCCAGATAGAGTTTTCAGTCTTTCATTCCTCCACTATAAGCTGTCCTTGCTGTGTCTTTATTACAATTCAGAAATGGTAGTAGCAGGAATTCAGGTGCAGCTTAGTAAGATTTATTATATGTGATATGTTCTGTAAGAAGTGTTTTAGGAGACACAAAAAGAAAAGAGTCTCTTAAATTCCATGAAGCTGAGAGTTCAAATAACTGGGACCCATATGCCAATGAAACAAGAGAAAATGCCAGGGCCATCGTCCTGATGCTGTGGGTAGGAAGAAACACAGGGGGATAGCGACAGATGCCATTTTTATATATCAGTATATACATACAAAGCATCATCTAGGCTATTTGACTATGTTACAATCATCGCTGTGGGTTTTCTTTTCCAGTCTGTTCTTCAGGAGCCTTGAAGTGACTAGCTATATTTACATCTGGGAGAACTACAGGCTTTTCGAGTTGCCTTGGGATTCTCCGTGGACATGGTATTTAACCTTCTTAGGAGTTGACTTTGGCTACTACTGGTTCCATCGCATGGCCCATGGTAAGTTACAAGTGATGCATTTTTCTCAACAATGATGAAGTGCGGGTAGTACATAAGAGACACTTGGTAATATTTATTGAAAAAATAAATAAATCACTGAAATAATACATCTTGTAGCATGTAAATATTGCTAATGAAGATTTAGTTTGGAATTTCAGCTCAAGCAATCTGAAACCATTAAAAATAAAGTTATTGCAGATACATTGTTTTCATGATTACAATTGTATTGCCTTTAGAAAATGATAGCTCTAGCATTGCTTTTTAATGGGTTTCCATCCATTGTTAAACTGTAGGCAATTATACATAATATCGAACTTCATATCCCAATCATCACAGGTCATCCTGCAGGGCTCTGAAGCAGCATGAAATTCTCGGGAACATCTGCCATCATACTCAGCATGATTCAATTTCTTGGCAGGGCTTCCACATTACAAATGAAAATGCAATCAGCTCAGCACTGATCATACTGCACTTCAGTGTTGCCATAGTTGCACAGAATGTCTCATCTCCAAAAAGCCTTCTTCCTGTGCTGGTTCACTGAGTGTGTGATGGGAAAGTGTAGCTGTGTGTCGCACAGAAATGTATTGTTATGAACTATAAAGAATAAATGGAAAAAGTTGGAAGGGGTGGTGGGGTCTGTATCTCCTCAGGCGTGGGTAAACATTAAGGTTTGCGAAGGTGAGCAGAGCAAGTGGGTTCCGAGAAGAAGTAAGACATGGCAAAATTAGGCAGGAAAGTGCAGAAAGGTGCTAGAATTGAAGATCACAAGTGACATTCACCACTGAAAATTTCAGAGGCAGTTTAAGTAGAGGGGGCAGTAAAGGAAGAAAGGAAAAAAAAAGAAACTGGGGTAATTGCCAAAAGTAGGTGCGAAATGGAAAGACAAGACATGAGATCAGGGTGAATAACTGTTATGTGGAGCAGTAAAATGGACCAAACGTTCTTTCTAAGCAAAAATGATGGAAGTAGAAGGAACATGGCCCATATATACATATATGTGCAATAAAACTCAATCATTTAACCAAAGTATGAGTGTGTTAATTCTTTGGAATAATTTGGAGTAAATATGCAAGCTACAAATTATGTATATATATTTATACACACACACACACACACACATATATATATACATATATATATATATAGAGAGAGAGAGAGAGAAATAACCAATGTCTTTGAAACTAGTCACCTCCTCACATCATTTTTTTACTATAAGAGGATAACCCCAAATCAAGCATGATTAAGAATAAAAATATAGTAGACTTCGTATTTTAGGGCAAAGTACTAGTTTTTCTTATAGAATAAGCACCTTGGTGATTTCCTTCATTCTGTGTGACAAGCACTGCTGAAAAGACCAGCTAATTCAGTTTCAGAAATTTTCTAATACTGTACTAAATAGATGTTCTTGTTTGAGAAATCTGAAAAATTACTTTTATCTATGAAGCTGGAAAAACATCCCCAAATATTACCAAACTTCTTGTGAATGCCCTCAGTTAAGAGTGACAACATTAAATAAAATCAGTAGAATGTGGAATCAGTGCACTTGAAAGTATGCTTCATGTTAGAACAACAACAACAACAACAACAAAAGCTGAACTGAATGGAGTGAAAGGAGCAGGCATTAAATAAATTGAAAGCCTTCTGGAAAAACATTCATACCCTCAGGCTACAGAACCTGATCAGAAGTTCAAAGACTTGTGGTCTGTAATGGAAAGCTAGTAGGAAAAAATAAATTATGTAGTTAAATATGCCAGCCTTCAGCGTGATAGCTGAAAATTTATACTCAAAACTAATCAAAAAATACTAAAATAGTTTTTAGGGATCTAGAGATATACATCAATTAAAAAAATCTTACAATATAAAAACTTGTAGTTCCAAACAGAATAACTATTCACACTAATTTAACTGAAAAAAAGTTTCAACAATTTCAAAATTCAAATGTCATCTTATTACACAGAAAGAAAAAGAAAAAAAAAGCTTACTGTGTAGTTTCCCTTCACTATTTTCAGCAAAATTATATGATGATATATTTCATGTGCATTAATATGTTAGATATGAGGAAACAAAACTTATATAAATAAAACTTTGTTGTTATGTTGTTAGTAAGTGAAATTGTTCCTGGTTCTTTACTTTGTATGGCTGCCGCTTGCTTGTCTCACACTTGGACAGCATTTTCTTCTGAGGACAGTGCTCTTTCAGGCAAAAAGCCTTTATTCTCAGAACCCTCTGTGTCAGAAAACATACTTGGAAGCTTTACAGTTCTTTACATTTTCTTTCCCTATATTTTCTTTCTCTACACAAACATTGCTAATTGTTGTCATCTGCAATAAATGAATATTGCCTAATCACCTCCATAGATTTCTTTGATGACTTTTCAGAAAGAAATTCAAAATGTTAAAATCGGGTAATCCTTAAGTTAAAAGTAGCTGTTGGCATGTCTCTACCCCGTGTTTATGCTCTGTGTATTCTCTTGACTTTATCTCTGGTGTAAACAAACAGGGAAAGAGTTTTCACTGGAGTGCCGGCTAGAGCCCCATAATCCCAGTGATACAGTCTAGGAGTTTTCATTGCATTTTTTTAATTTTATCCCTGCCAGGTAAAGAATTAAAAGACAGGAACATTCTTGATTACTTTAGGTTGAAGTGGTGAAATCTGAAGCACTACACACCACAGCAGAAAGAACCATCAGATGGAGGTGTTTATGAGGGTGAGGAAACGGAGGCATGCAGAAGGCACACAGAGAAAGAGCCTGTGGAAAGCAGAGTGGGCACCAGGCAGTCCAAAAACAATTTTAACTTTACCTTTCCATTCTACATATTTTTTTTCTCTCATTTTCAACATGCATGACAGCAGTAAGCAGTAACCATGACACAGCCTGACTGCCTTTCTGTCTTGAGATTGCCTCTGCTTCAAGAATCAGTTCATTACTCGCGATTTCAGCCTCCATCAATTCTCAGAACAGAAGAAGAGGGAAGCCCTGGAGTGCCAAAGTATAACTGAGGCGATCTCTACCTCAGTTCCTGAAAGGCCTGATCTGTTCTGAAACCTCATTCTCTGAGCATCCCACTTGTGTCTGGTCCTCCCATTCATGCTGCAATGGCACGCGAAGCCCTGCCTACAGAATTAGAACAGGGATTTTCCAACTCAGTGTCCCACTCTTTTCCACACTGCCCCCTCAACCGGCCGATCACAACAGCAGTCCCACTCCTCCGTACCCGAGGCCTGAGTTCACCCCATCCTTGTTACTGTGACAAATTATTTGATAGAAACTTAAGGGAGAAAATATTTACCTTTTTCTCAAAACTCAGTAGAATATTCTGTTATATTGGATTAGTCCTGGAACAGAGAAATGGTTTACGTATCCTGTTACAGATGTCCCTGAAGCACCTATTCTTTCAGCTGTTAGTTTTTCCAGTAGTTATCAAAATCACTTATATCACTCTCATTTTAGTTCAACACAGAACACCTAAGATAGCTTCTTAATGCCACATGCCCTTGATTGTTCTATTATGGATTACAGGTGCCAGCAGTCAATTATAATAATGACAGAAAGTGTCAATATATGTAGTGAACTCTAGAACTAATTTTTGCCCCACACCAGACATACCAATTCTTGTAAGTTTTATTCTCTTTTACCTAGATTCACGTAAAATGATCACAAATTCCATCAAATTAACCAAGTGTGCTTCTGCTTCAGGTCCTTACTTTTTGCCTTTCCTCTGCGTGTCTCCATTTTTCCAGAATCCTCGGGCTCGCACTCTCAGAAAGGTTTAGTTCTGTGATCTGAGAGTATTCTGATCATTCTATAAATTTTCCTTTTTAATTAATTTATTTTTATTAATTAAAGTTATTCATTTTGTATCCCAGCTATAGCCCCCTCCCTAATCCCCTTCCAATCCTACCTTTCCTCGGTCTACTCCTCCCATGCTCCTTCCCCAGTCCCCTGATAGGGGAGGTTCTCCTCTCCTTCCATCTGACCCTAGTCTATCAGATCTCATCAGGACTGGCTATATTGTCTTTCTCTGTGGCCTGGTAAGGCTGTTCCCCCTTCACGGGGAGTTGATCAAAGAGCCAGCCACTGAGTTCATGTCAGAGACAGCCCTGTTCCCATTACCAGGGAAGTTACTTGGAGACTGAGCTACCATGGCCTACATCTGTTCAGGGGTTCTAGGTTACCTCCATGAATGGTCTTTGGTTGGACTATCAGTATCAGAAAAGACCATTGGGCTCAGAATTTTTGGTTCTGTTGCTCTCCTTGTGGAGCTTCTGTCCCTCCAAGTCTTTCTATCTCTCCCTTCTTTCATAAGATTCCTTGCACTCTGCTCAAAGTTTGGCTATGAGTCTCAGCATCTGCTTTTATTCCCTGTTGGGTAGAGTCTTTCAGAGTTCCTCTGTGGTAGGCTCCTGTCCTGTTCCCTTTTTTCTCTTTCTTCAGAAGTCCATCCCTGTCTTTCTGAATGAGGATTGATCATCTTACCCAGGGTCCTCCTTGCTTAGCTTCTTTAGGTGTACAGATTTTAATATGTTGGTCCTATATTATATTTCTAACATCCACTTATAAATGAGTATATACCATTTGTGTCTTTGTGTCTTTCTGCTTCAGATTGGAATGTAAACTTGTACAACCACTTTGGAAATCAATCTGGAGCATTCTCAGACAATTAGGAGTAGTGCTACCTCAAGATCCAGCTTTACCTCTCCTAGGCATATATCCAAAATATGCTCACATATACAACAGGGACATTTCTCAACCATATTCGTAGCAGGTTTATTCATAATAGCCAGAATTTGTAAACAACCCAGATGTCCCTCAATGGAGGAACAGATGCAGAAAATGTGGCACATTTACACAATGGAATACTATTCAGCAATTAAAAACAAGGGAATCATGAAATTTGCAGGCAAATGGTGGGAACAAGAAAAGATCATTCTATACCTTTTCAAGACCTCACAAACCTCACTTTTAAGAGATGTGAGACCTTCCAGACTGGGTCAGAGCA